GCAATTGGTTCGAGATTGAAGCATCTCATACGTGTGGATACCACTAGAGGAGATCTACTTTGATCTCTCGAGCTTCAGATTCTACCATCAATCAATTGAGGTAGTTTTTCTTGAAACACCCTATGGTTGATTTTATTTTGTCCTTATTACATATGCTTTGTTCTGGGCTAAAAGGGTTTCACGGTTATTTTTAAGTTTATATATATATATATATGTATATATATTTGTTACATTTACGTCCCGTTGAAACCCTACAGAGGACGCGAAGATGGAACATAGTGGTGGTGGTGGTTGATAGTGGTGGAGAAGGTAGATGTGGCGAAGTGGTTGATGTAGTGGTGGTGGTAGTGGTGGTTAGTGGTAGTCGAAGCTGATGGTGGTGGAAGAGGTGACCGACGGTACTAGTGGTGGTGGTCACCAACGGTGGTTGTTGGTCGACGACGGTGGTTGTGGAGGACTTGAAGATAGTGGATGGTGGTGATGGTGGCAGCCGACAATGGTGGAGCATGAAGTTGTGGCCAATTTTGTGGAGGTAGTGGTGGTGGTGGGAAGTGGTAGTGAGGGTGGTGGTAATTATGGTAGTCAACAATAGTAGTGGTGGTTGCTATAACCGAGTTTCAGACAACCTGGGTCGAGGTAACTTATACGTGATTATTATTTGAAGTTACATGATAGCATGCATGGTAATTAACTAATGCATGAATAGTATGCAATATATGTGGAAAGGTGATATGACGCATACATGATGTATATATGCATGCATGAGATGTGAAACATACATGAGAATTTGAATATTTTATTATATGAAGATAAGATATCTTCATTGTTAAGAAAAAGGGTTTTAAAAACAATATCTTTCACCCCCCAAACCATATTGAAATAATAAAACCCTCCACCACCTTTGAGAGGATATTTAAAGAAAGAAAAAGATAAGATTTCATCTTATCACTTTATCTTTTGGAAATGAACCTGTTGAGAGAGAAAAAAGAGTGTTGTGACGGTGAAAAATATTCTTGAAGAACTTGTGAATTACTGTGTATTTGAATCTGCAGAATCTATGTTGTTAAGGTGAGTTTTGATAACTAAAAACCTTTATATTTATTGTTATATAAACTGTTGAGTTTATATTGATTTTGAAGAAAGTTGGTAAAACTGTTTTTGACAGTTTAAAGGTGTTATGGCTGTATATCTGAGTTTAAAAAACTGTTTTGGAAAGTGAAAGAAGAGATTGCTTCTTTGAAAACAGTTTTAGGAATGATATCCTGTTTTAAGGATTAAAAAGGATTAGATGATTTGAGAAATCATTTACATAATGGATTGTTCTTGAGGTTTAAAAAGGTTTTAATATAAACCGGTTTTGAGACCTTGATTGGATAAAACTATAGATGAGGTTCACTCTGATGTATATGACTTTGTTTCGTCATTGGATGAAATAGTCTATAGATTTTGATTAAAACTATGAACGAAGTTCACTCTGACAGAAAGATCTGCAGCTTGTCATTGGATGAAATAGTTCATAAGAATTTCAGGAGAAATAAGGGTGGTCGTTGTGTGTGATGGATATAGATGTTGCTATTAAGGGGAATTTTGGATGTAATAAGGATGGTCGTTGTGTGTGCATGATATAACTATTTTAATATTACAACAGATTAGAGTTCTCACTTCTTGGTGATTTGAGAATTCAGAGATGTTGTTCCTGTTAGAAATAATAGTATTGATGTTATGGTTACGAAAAAATATGACCTATAGTCATTGGTTTTGGTTAAAAGTGTTTTAGAGCAGAATGTTCATTTTATGAGGAATCAGATAGGCTCTGATTGTTCCTTGCAAGGAACCAGAGAGGCTCTGGTTGGACCTCTATATAGAACCAGAGGGTTCTGGATGATGGTTTGAAAAATATACAAGTCTTTTACAAAGTGTTTAGTTAAACCAGAGGCTCCGTATTCGTAAGAAACGAGCTTTGTGTCAAATTTACATTTTAAAGATAATTCAAAGATTTTTATACTTAGAAACTTTTCTTATGAAAACAGACCAAAGGGGCTCTGGTTGGCTTATACGTTGAACCAAAGGCTCTGGTTGGTCTTGACTTTTGAACCAGAAGCTCTGGTTAGTACAACCAGAAGCTCTGGTTATACATGAACTCTTTGTAATCAATTTTAGTTATGGAAAAAGGCTATTTTATTACTTACAAAGTTAGTCAAGGAACATTATGAGAAATTACTTGAAGTAAGAGGCTCTGGTTAGTACAACCAGAAGCTCTGATTGAGGAATCAGAAGCTCTGGTAGAGGAACTAGAGGGGCTCTGGTCCTATTATGAGTGAAATATTTTCCAAGTGTGGTCTTTGAAACCAGAGGTCTAATGGACTCAAACAGAATGTGGCTTTATCCTCCATCATATGAAATGGTTTAAATGTTTTGATGATCTTCACCCTCCATTACATAAAAGGGAAACCTCACTAGACATTCATGTCTAACCCTCATTTTGTGTTTACAAATATGTGTGCAGGTAATGATAATAAGTGAAAGAACATTCTATGATTATTTCCCTATGTGCTTAGCTGTATGAAGATCTTAATTAGTCAAGTTTAAAGTATAGATGTTAAGATACAAGAGCATGTACTTTTGAAATTTGAGTTATGTATTTTGCATTATAGACTCTTGTATTAAGGACCTTTGTGGGCTTAACATGTATTCTATGTATGAAATATGTGTTACATATGCAATGTGAGATTGGGGGTGTTACAGTGGTGGTGATGGACGACGGTTATTGAAGTACTAGAGGAAGTTGTTGTAATGGAGAAGGAGGTGGAGGTGGCTAACGATGATAGTGGTTATGGATATGGATGGTGGTGGTCGATGGCGGACAGTGGTTGTGGAGGAGGTTGTTGTAGTGAAAGGGGATGTGGAGGTGGCCGACAGTGGCGGTGGTGGCTGCAACTAGTGATGGTGACTATTAAAACAAGTATCATATTAAGGTTATATATATATATATATATATATATCAAACGAGTTTATATTAGTAATATTATAGTTTCTTTCACATTCTTGTCCTATCTTGTTTCACATATTTTGGTGGAACAAGAAAAACCTTTTTAGTCCCACGCTATCCCACCTTGTCCTTGTTCGTGTCCTTGTCTTGCGCCAAACATGGGACAATGAGTTCTTGTCTTGTCCCATGTCGTGTCAAACATGAGATAGTGAGTTTTTTCCTGTCTTATCTTGTTATGTCCAAGTACCAAACACAACCTAAACGCATTGAAGAACAAGAATGGTCACTAGATTAAGCATTTTGGTTTGCAGATAATCTCTAATGCTAACTTCGTTAAGTGAATGTTATTTTTGTGTTTTCAGTTATTCTTTTTGGTTTTTCCTATTAAGAAAATTATATATATATATATATATATATATATATATATATATATATTATAAAGTTTATATGAGTACACAACATTTCACCTTATTCTTGAAATAGTTATATTAACACAAGGAGGTTCCCTTTCTTTCATTCTCTTGATTTTTTCCCAAATCCAGAAATACAATGTAAGTGATTCATTTTCTTCATATCAACATCATGAGGTTCATGTGATGTGTTCATAAATATGCTAAATCTTCAACATCCATTCTCTTCTTATACTGGCTAACTGCAGCCGTAATGTTTGTACAAAAATAAATACACTAGTGAATCGTGTTACTTTTTATGTTAATTTTCAATGTTCTGGGATCTACTCCTTCAATAGCCATTGTTTCGACTTGGGCAAGGAGGGTGATAGGATAACCTTTTTAGAGGATGAGATTTACGATCAAAATAATAAGAAAAGAAAATTCCAAAAAGCACTAACATTTTGAACGTATACACATGTTATAAATATTAAAAAAAATACTGATTATTTCAAATAGTTAATAAAAATTATCGTCAAATCCTACAAGAATAATAGATAACTGTATGAGCAACTTATAAAGAAAACTTTTGTTGTCTAGAAATAAAAAGTTACAATACATTAACTTCTCTTTTTTTTACTTTTCGATTTCTAGAATCAGATGAAATCCTTCAAATTATTGCGTCTTAACTAAATCTTCATTATTTTTATCTAATATATACTTTAGTTTAAGAAATATAATTTGTGATTAGATATATTAAATGTTTTTAGTAAAATATATTTTAAAAAAATACAAATAATTTTAGAGTATATTTCATTGTTGGTCATGTGGTTTGCCCAAAATCTGGTTTTTGTCTCCGATGGTCTATAAAAAGATTGATTTGCCCCTCAAGTGAGGTGCTGTGATGTGAAGGATCTAACGGTTTACGATATTAGCTTCAGAAACACTGATTGTTATGAAATAAAAAAAGTATGGACCATTACTGTAGATAATCCATTTTAGGGACGAAATCCAAATATTCACCAAATCATAGACTAATTACCAATCAAATGTAAACCGACGAACACCTGTGCGAGTCCTTTTAGACTAGTTATCAATCAATCTCAGAGTTTGAAATTCGGGGTCAAACGCTAACACGAATCAGTCATTCAATCTCCCATTAACTAAAGCACGCTAAAAAATCACAATGCTCGTTATTTTGATTAGTTAGTTCATCATGTAAGACGACATGATGGAGGCCAACATTGTTATTAAATATTAACCAAAAGCATTTATTATTTTAAGGATAAGTTAAGACACTGATAGAAATGATATATCCTAAAAAAGTTAATACATATCAGATCAAGCGAAATCCAATATATTGTAGTTGTGTGATCTCATATAAGGTCTTGGGAAGACGACTAGCTGAAAGCACCGCTCTCTGCAACTGTAATCGACGTCTTGCTACAGACATGTGCAACTGTCCATGAATCTCCTCTAGAGGGATGAATTTTTAGGAATTATTCCTGCAAATAAAAGGAAAGAATCTAGATTTATAGCGGTACCATCAAAATCACAACTAACATTTAATACAAATGTTCAACCATCATACTAAAGGACTTTAGAAGATTCAATACCTCAAACTATAGTTCCTCTTTTCTGGAATAGTCATACTGAGTTTCTTGATCTTTATTGGTCTTAATGAAATCAATAATCTTTTCCTTGGTTCTGTTTCCATCATATGGAAATAAGTTTCTGCTTGCTGACTTGAAGTACAATGTAGGGTAAGCCTTAATGTCAATGCCTTCATGTACAATATCATTTGCAGTAGCATCCTGTACAACGTAATAAATAAATAACTGAACAAGCTTCACATAAAATATGCAAGGGTCAACATATGTACAACAGTTCATTAGAAGAAAACAAAAGACATTAGTTACTAGACTAAAATCAAACCAAACCAAACCAAACCAAACCAAACGTACTAATTATATATCTCACCTAAAAGAAAGTATGGTAACATGTATATAAACCTCACGGTTACCTTGAGAGACAAAAAAACTGATTTTAAGAAGACCGCAACTTGAGACAATAGTTACCAAACTAAGAATTAAGATTGAATGGGAAGTTTTGAGGTGGAAGCAGTGGCAGTGGTGGAGATTCACGAGTTTTTGAAAGTGGTATCATAAAATACCGTAAAAAAAAAAGAATTAGTTACAAAAGCATTACAGAGACTCTTTTTTGGTTATTTTGGGTCGATTAAATATAAATTAAATATTTAAGTAATTAAAAATTGATAGACTAGCCTTTTTCAAAAGAAATTATCTCTTAAGACTTCTAAACAACTCAATTGTTGGTACGTTTCTAGTGTTAAATCAACATACAACATATTAAGCTCAAATATAAACAAAGAAACCCTAAAATCTAAAGAGTTAACCCCAAATATAAATAAATTGAGCTACGTAGTTAGTCCTAAATTAACAAATTAACCCATAATTTAACTCTGAACAAATAAACCTAAATTCTACAGAGTTTGGGCCAAATATACAGAAAATAACCTTAAAGAGTTTAATTAACATTTTATTATGTTAATACTATTACAGGAATATAAACAAACTAACTCTAACCAACCGAACTCCACACAATTAAAAATTTGTATTCGCCTTAAATTTTAGTAAAAAAGTTCCACTTTATGGTAAAAAAATATGTAATTTTTTAATGTTTTTAGCTAATAAATAAACAAATAACTAATACGAAAAAGGTATAAAGTGAAAAAAGAAAAAGAAAAAGAAAGGAAGTAAATAATAAAAAGTAAAGTTTTTTGAAGTGTGAAAATTTGGTCGGGTCTCACAAAAACAGACTTATCTCACATGATTCCAAGTTTATACACACACACACACACACACACACATATATATATATATATATATATAGCGGTCCATTCAAAGAATAATTGATTAGTTTGTGATAACTGTTAGATTCAATCTTAACCACAAATTAATGGATAAATTAGGAAACTAATATTTTTGGTAATTTGACTTAAAATTATAATTAAAGGGCATTTTAGGTATTTTAATTTTTTTAACTCTCCTCTCTCTCTCTCTCTCTCTCTCTCTCTCTCTCTCCCCCCTACCTCTGGCCTCCGATGAACACCATGTGATACCCAAAATACACCAAGATACACAATGTGATACCAAATATATATAATGTGATATACCCAAAACACACCAAGTAAATTTGAGACCACTATGATACCAATTGTGGTACCACTATCATACCAATTTGATAACAACTATCGTACCACTGTGATACCTACGTTGTTTACATATGTATGTGTTTCTACAGTGTGCACAATGTCTGTTGTATATGTACAATTGTGTTTGCAATGTGTATATGTGCAATGTGTGTATGTGTGTTGCAAGTCTGGAGGTTGGGTTAGAGAAGAAGGTTGGGATAGAGATGACCGCGAATGGAGGGTTTTCCCAGATGGAGGGTGATCAATGAGGATGTTTAAAGGCATTTGAGGGGGCGATCGAGGGGAGTGTCGATGGAGATGGTGGTCAATGGTGGGGATGGGGGAAGGAGATAGGTAGTGAGGGGGTCACAGGTAAATGGTATATTGATGAAACGGGACTCGATAAACACAGAGGTAAAAGATTTGTTGACTGGTTTAAGAGACGTAAGTGTATACATATTATTTTTCGTCATTAATTATATTTACTTAATAAAATATTACAATTGATATGTTTATTCGTCAGTATGTGTCAGTCAGACTCCAATACTAATCATCTAAAAGTTTTGGCAACATGGCTGCTCCATTTGGAGTTATCTGATGTTTTTTTACCAATGGTTACAAGTTCCACTTGCTAACTCAAGATACCGGTCACTCCTCGCATAATAGTGGTGTTACGTGAAAGGTTCTTGTTACAATGATTATGAGTTTGACTACCAATTGTTAGATGAAGTCCTAGAGATGGAATATCATAGGTATAGACGTCGTTGCGTTGTTTTTATTTAGATGGACATGGTTTGATCCAGTTAACGGCACCTAAGATGACCCGAAACATAATCTAGTTGACTTTAAACATATATCAAGACTTTGATCAAATGACTCATTTATCCTAGCATTAAAACTTGATAAAGTCTATTATGCACCATATTTATCGAAGGAATTAAAAGATTAAAGGTCTATGGTCAAGACAAACCCAAGAGGGGTATATGAATTGGTGTAGTGTACACCCCAAGTACCTATTGATTAAAATGTGGACGATGAACAGTTTTCTCAAGAGATTCTTTAAGTTTAGAAGAGGGGTTCTAACACTATTGTAGGAAGTTCTATCTCTAAGTTATTATGCAAAATCTTCAAGTCTAGCTAATTTACTAAAACTCTCACACCAACCCCCTTCAAACTGCAGGATTCTAATTAGATAGATAAAAACACAACAAAGGTACAAAATCTCAGTCTATTGAAGCTCACGTACTTGAAGAGACTTAAAAAATTTTATGCTTCCAAACGATGTATCTCTCTATTTATCCCTTTCTTTCTCTCTCTCTCTCTCTCTATATATATATATATATATATATCACTCGATACAACAATGGTTTTGTCAAGAATACATACATAGTGAAGACTAGGTTTCTGGTGCCAGCATCTATTGGTAAAGATAAGGTGTGTGTTAATTCCATGCCTTCATAATGAATGTGTATGTGACCATAGGCTATGTAGCATCACCAATTATTCACACAATATAAGGTTGAATTTAAAGAACCTTACCATCTTAGCAATGACAACATCATCATCATTTGAAAATGAAAAAGCGACTTCATCCAAGATTGGAGCCAACTCTTTGCAATCTCCACACCATGGAGCATAAAACTCCATCAGAACTATAAATTTTTGATTGTTCAGTTAGTAACCGTTGATTCAAGAATCACTAGAACGAAATTGGTTTTATAGGGTGTAAAAACGTCTAGATGTCCAATAGACTATTTTATAGGACTTAAGTTTATAGGACCAAACAATCTGTGTCCTACGTAAGAGGGTTGCAATAAGTTTATTTGGTCATATAAACTGAGTTCTTATAAAACAACTCTTTTTAACATCCTATACATTCAACAAGATAATTAACTATTGCTTTGCATACCGTTTTTCCCTGACTTGAAAACAATATCATGGAAATTATCAGCAACAACAACCTTAACTGGTTGATTATTCGCCTCAGGTATAGGCTCAGATTTCACATATGGTGCAACTTTTCCATCCTGCATTCAAGTAGGAAGGCCACCCAAATCATCCAGGCAAAGGGTTAAAGATATTACAAAAAAATCGAGTTTACAGAAAGTTAAAAATACCTAAGGGGTCGTTTAGCAAATGTTTAGTTGACAAACGTTTATCGGTAAAAGTTACCACTCCTACTTACCTTACTAGGTAATATTTTCAGCCATCAAAATGACATAATAGGCGAACAATCTTACCTGGTAAACGCTAACCATATAAGAGTCATCACCCTCATTTGACAGGTAGAAATTCTCGGTCCTTGTCATACGTCTCAAAGGTTAAGATTATCGGTTTTTGTCATGCTCACCGGATAAGCACTTACGTGGTTAGCATTTGGTAACCGCCCCTAAGTAAACTAACATACTACAGAACCTAAAACTTGTGTGTTATATGTAAAACTGTTAAAATAAATTTATAGGATGCTTCTCGGCATCTTAACAATTTTTTTTAGAAAATTTTGAAATAATCCGTCATATTAATTTTTTAATATGACATTATTCGAAAAATGTTTATAAAAACAAGTGTTCTATAACAAGTTGTGCTCATAGACACTTCTCAAAGGTATCATATAAAAAACTAGCATGGCATAATTTTATTTCGAAGGGGTCCTAAAAAGTTTGTTAAGATGACTAAAGGTTTGATCTAAACTTGTTATAACACTTTTACATAGAATGTAGATGCGTTTGCTTTTTAAAATTATATGTTATGTAAAACCGTCTATCAGACCACTTAATTTTTATTTTCTGTCTTGTAAACTTGATATCGTAGGCGAGAAGCGAGGCAAAAGACATTGAAATGCATGCGTTTTTGTTTAACATCGTTATTACAACTTTATAACCATAATTACAACATAAAAAACAAATATAAAACTGAAAATAATCACGTACCTTGTATTCCTTCATCCAAAGTTCAAGGTGGTCGGGCTCTATGTTTGGTTTCACATACTTATGATGTTTATCGTTGTTTATAACCATGGCAGGAACATGGTCTTCTGTAAGTCCAAAAAACTGTCAATGTAAACATTAATCAATATATATTATTTAAACAAGATCTTCACAAATCACTAATTGATATCTATACAAATCTGGAAATAGATGTCTAGGAAGTAGGAAGACCTTTGGTGAAAATGTCGGCAAACTAATAGGAAGATGAAACATAAAGAACTCTAACGTAGGTTGTCATTTGGATGACAAGGATACTAAATTACCATTGAGGAAAACACAGTAGCTGACGAGTATCGGGGTAGCCACCTCAATCAGCATCTGTATGGGCAATGAGGTTTTTCGGAGCCGAAGGATAAAGATTCATGCCATAGGATAAGGTGCCCTTAATAAGAAATAATATTCATTTGAGAGCATTGAAGTAGGGCTCTCGAGGAGCATGCACGAAGAGACACACTTGCTAAACGACATATGGGATATCAGGACGGGTGAAGATAAGATATTGTAAGGCAATAACGAGGCTCCTATACAACAAGGCATCGGGAACCACATGCCTACAGTTTTCCCCAGGCTTCAATTTAATGTCCACTGGTGATGCTTCCTGGTGGAAATTGCTCATGTAGGCACGACTTAGCATTCTTTAGCATATTTTCATCAGGAGAGAAACATACTTGAGGAGTGGAGAAAGACAGCAATACCAAGAAAGTAACTGAGTGGGCCCAAATCAGACATTACAAAAATTCATACTTATTATTTAAGTTTGTAGGCTATCAGAAGAGGCAGTCAAGACAATGTCATCGAGATATAAGAGTAAGTATGCCATGTTAGTTCCCTTTTAAAAATGAACAACGAAGTGTCACTCTTGCTGCTTGTGAAACCTATATGAACAAGAAAACTGGCAAACCTTTGGTGCCATGCTCGGGGAGCCTGCTTGAGCCCATATAGAGATTTCTGAAGCTTGCATACGTAGCCTGGAACACACGCATTGCTAAACCTGGAGGTTGATGCATATAATCTGTTTCATGTAAATGGCCACATAACATCAAGTTGATGAATGGGCCGTTCTCGTCCAGTAAAAAGACTCAATACCATATGAATTGTAGCGGGCTAAACCACAGAACTAAGAGTTTCGTCATAGTCAATACCAACCTGTTGATATTTCCAATTTAGAATAATTCAAGCCTTATGTCACTCAAGCGACCCATCATATCTGTATTTATGCTTGAACAACCACACACAATGAATAACGTTGACTCCTTGAGGGTGTAGAACAAGTTCCCACATCTCATTTTAATAAGAACCTTGTATTCATCTTGCATGGATGCATTCCAAATTGGCCATTTAAAGCTGATTTAGGGGTTTTTGGAATGGGTGAGATAGAAGGGAATTAATTGTTTATATTAAAATTAATTTCGTCTTAAAAACACCATGTTTACTTCTGGTTGCCATGAGTAAAGAGGTGGCAGGTGGGGTCGTTTAAGGTGTTTGGTGGCTAGGCTCTTGGGAACCAGGTGGGATAGAAGTATCGGGGTTATTGATGGGTTGGTTGGGTAAGGATACTGTTTGGGTAAGAGATATGAGTACAAAAGATTTTTGAGAGAAATTGTTACAATGATATATATAAATGGAATGATCAAAAGTTACAAAAACAGATTTGACTGACTTCTATTATATAGTATGGAAAGGCTACAGTTACATTGAATTACAACACAGATTAATAAGCCTGTAACATGTGGCATAGTATTTTGAAGCTTTGCGTCTTCAATCTTGAGAAACATATCAGAGTAAAAATGCGTAAGTGTCTAACTATGGATAAGTGTATCTAGAGTTGGTGTCGAACTCTCATAACAAAGCAGCCAAACTCTAAAGACTTAGTACTTAGAAATTTCACCATCTTCTTCAGTCTTTCTACAGAGTATCAAATATCTGTCTCAGAGTACCAGAAGAATATTTAGAGACCTCTGCTAATGGTTGTTGCTGGTTAGTCTGAACACAAATCTAGCTAATGGTTTTTCAACATCAGAGGCAGTTTTCATATCCTCAACTCCTTCAAGAGATGTATCTTTTTTATACAAATTATATCGGAGCAGAAGGAGCCTCGCCCCGAGCTCCCGAGTATCTTTTTGATACAAATTATAGAGAGATAGATAATTAAGGTTTAACTATAAACCGTTAATTATCAGAGTGGGTTTAAACATATTAAAATTGGTTTTCAAATTGGTTTTAAGCACGTTTTTAGAGGATAATTATTGTTGGAGGATTATCCTCCAACTAACCCAACGTAATCCGAATTTGGGGAGATAAAATTGTGGGTTTAGGGGGGTTTAACCAGTATAAATATTGGGTTAAAACCACCTCTAAGACACACTGGAAAAATCGCCTGCTTCCTTTCTCTCTCTCGAATTTCTGCGTCAATCAAATTCTTCTACCAAACCTCTGCATCTGATTTGCTTTTGAGTTCGTTATCAAAGATGTTGATAAACAAAACACGTTACTGCATCAAATCTGTGTGGTAGTGATCGGTTTGTGGTTTGATCCTGAATATTAAAGTTACCGTCTTTTTATAATAAAGGTTTAAACCTTATAGTCTAATTTATCGTTTGGATAAAAGAGTTAAACTTTATTTGTAAAGATTAAAACTTTATCATTTTATCTGTCTAATTTTTATTATATTCAACAATCTTAAAGGTTTTGTAATAAATGGACTCCGAAAACTACCGAATCTTGAACCAAGACATGATGAAACTTGAGAAGTTCGACAGGACCAATTATACCCGTTGGGCCGAGAAGGTCAAATTCATGTTGATGGTTGTGAAGCTCTACTATGTTTTTGACCCAGACCTCCCTCTCATTCCTGAAAATTTGGTTCCTCAACCGGGAAAAGAACCGGATAGAAAAAGAATAGCCGACCTTGAAAAACTGAGACTAATCCGCAAGGAAGAAGAAACCTTTGCTTGTGGACATATAAAAAATGTCTTGTCAGATTGGTTGTATGATCTGTACTCCCCGATTACGTGCCCAAGGGAACTTTGGAAAGCGTTGGAATTCAAGTATAAATCACAAGAAGATGGTACAAATAAGTATCTTGTGTCTCAATACTTGAGATTTCAAATGGTAAATGATAAACCGATTCTGGAGCAAGTGCATGAGCTCCATCTTTTAGTAAAAAAACTGAAATCACTTTCCATACCTATTCCTGAAATTTTCCAAGTAGGGACAATAATAGATAAATTGCCCCCATGTTGGAATTTTTTTTCAAAAAGAGTGATGCATAAATATGAAGATCATTCTTTGGATGATTTACTAAAACATCTTCGAATCGAGGAAGAGGCACTTAATCGGGATAAGAGAGGCAAGTCTATGTTAAGTGCTAACAACATGCAGGCTGGAGGCAAGGGTAAGGGAAGGGCTGGAGGTCCAAATAAAAAAGTGGAACTTAGGTCCATAAAAGAAGAACTTCAAAAATATCGGGTCATCAATCAAATCCAGAGCAACATTTCAAAAGTGTCGGAAAGTGTCACATCTGCGGAGAGACGGGACACTATGCTCGTGAGTTCAAGCATAGAAAGTCCGGATCGCCTGTTGCTAACTCTGTTGAAGGGATTCAGAACCTTGTAGTGAATCTTAACATGGAGGATATTGATATGAATTCAAAGGCCTCGACAAGGATTGTGGCTGGAAGAGGAGGCTGGTACTTGGATTCTGAAGCCACTGTTCATGTTTGTGACTCCAGGTCCAAGTTTGTTGAATATGGACCAGTCCGAGAGGGTAAACAAGTGATAGTAGCTAACAACGGTCGTGCTGACGTTGTTGGAATGGATACCGTGCTACTGAAATTCGCTTTTGGCAAGATCGTCACTCTCTAAAATGTTCTTTACGTGCCTTCTATTAATAAGAGCCTCGTTTTTGCAAACAAGCTCGATGAAAACGAGTTTGGAATAAACATTGAGGCAAGAAAGCTCGTGATCTACAAAAAGAAGACCTTTATTGGGAAGGGATACTAACAGATGGGTATGTATCGCCTGAATCTGAGTGAGGATGATGATGAGGAGGCCGGACCTAGTGAGTCAGTAGGTAGTAATGTGTTAGCTACATCTGATGAAGTTTTTGATTTTTTCCATTTCTACAATTTATGTAATTCTCAACGTTATGAATGAAGTTGATTCTTTGGATTATTTTTCTTGTGTTATTTCTTTATGGCACAAAAGTCTTGCTTATACAAATGTAAGAAATATTGAAAAAATGCAAAATAAAGGTTAATCAACAGGCCCATCCATGGGCCTGTTAAATGTGTCATTCAGAACAGGGCCCCCTATGTTTTGGGGCCCAAAATTTACAGCTCATCTATTCTAATATATTCCATTTGGCCCAATTTTACAGCAAGGCTGCAAGGGTACGGTCGGCTAAGGTAGTAAGGTTTCACCACTCACCAGCCTTGCGTTCACAACGAGACAACACACTCACAGTCACACACGATTTTCGATTTCATTCCTGGACACGCTGGTCGCTGGACCAGAACCAGGCGTGCAGACCAGACTACTCACCTCGTGCCCTCGTCGCCTCGATCTCCCCTCTCCTCTCTATCCGTCCCGTCCTCGATTATCGTCGATTGAATTCTTCAAAATGGCTAATGATTCGGACCATTCGGTTTTAGATATGCAACGACAACTAGGACAACGGTTAGATTTTAGATTATTTTTGTTAATTATAAATACATGTTTGGTCAAGTTGTTGTTGATTACTCGTTCCCTGATTACTATTCACTGTTATTAAATCTTATAATCTCAACAATTTGGTCGATTACTTATTGTTTTTTTGTTGATTTCATGTGTCATTTGTGTTGGTCTTGGTCAATTGGTAATTTGGTTGGACTATTAGTGAGTGAGTAGGTGGTCGATTTTAACCTAATTCCTAAATCCTAAAGGTGAGATAAAGTATCCTAAGTTCTTTATCTGTAATTATGTATACACAAATTGTGAAATTCGGTTCTTTTTTTTCATTATGTGTTGAATATTCCTGGAAGTGTTGTTCTGTGTGTAGTTCAGTTGTTTGAATACAATTTTGCA